TCCTTGCGGAAGTCCGAGATGGTGCGGAAGTCCGGGGTGTTGTTGGCCGCCAGCACCCGGAAGGCGATGTCCTCGTGGAGACGCTGGGCCATGCGCCGGGACGATGCCACCCCGGTGCAGTAGCTATACAGCAGCACCTTCACCATCATCCGGGGATGGTAGGCCGGCCCGCCCCGGCTCTCCTGTTCATAGCGCTCCGTGATCTCCGCCAGATCCAACTGGTCCACCACGTCGGAAATGAAGTAGGCCAGGTGCTCCTCCGGCAGCCACTCCTGCAGGGCCGCTGGCAGCAGCAACTGCTGCTCTGGGTCATAGGGAAGGTAGGTTTTGCTCATTGATCGCTTACCCTCACTCAAGGCTCATATCATCATACCCCACCCGCTCGCTAAGGGCGTTTCTCGGACAGACTGCTAGGGTCAGGTAGATTTCGCAGCTGTGCTCCTGGCCGCAAAGCGGGCAGCTGAAGTGAATAAGGAACAGCCGCCGCATGCTGTCCTCTGCTCCTATCCTCTCGGTGGCGCTGTGAAATGGGTCACTGTACTCCAGGTGGAGCCCCCCGTCGCTTGGATTCGCTTCTGACATCGGATTCTCCTTTGTTCTGCAACCCCGCCAGCTCGGGCGCTGCCTTGTTCCTGCCCGGTATCCCCTTGGCTTTACTGACAGTTGGTGGTTGCCCGCACTCTACCGCATCTCTATATTCTTTGGAACTACATTCCCACGCCGCCGAAAACGTCGCTCTGGAGGTGATGATGGACCAGGTCTGTACCGTATGCCGGCAGCAGCAGGAATCGTGGTCACACCTCTGCCGTGAGTCTAGGGAGGTCGTCAACGTGGAGATGTACCGCGACTTCCTTCAGAACTCCCATCCCCTGGACCGCCTCTCCAACGACGATTATTTGGAGATTATGTTGGGGGGATGCGGCTCGTCGTCTCCTCAAGAGAATTGACACCCACATACCAGAGGAGGAGACCCTGTACTTCGTGAATCCGCTCGTCTACCGGGTGGAAATCAACCCCATCGCCTCGGTCCTGGGGTTCCGGGGCACCCTGTCGGGCATCGCCATTGAGGTTGGTGGTCACGAGGACCGTCACTGGAACGACGTGCTCCAGGTCCTCAACGGGTCCACCGTCGAGGCGGTGGGGTTCCTGCGTCGGCGGGAGACCCACCAGTGCCGCCTGATGTCCTACAACAGAAGAAGGCTGCCTTACTTGTGGGGCGTCAGGATGTTGGGGTACGTCGATGGGAAGGGCTGGACGTTCCTGGAGCAAGGTGCCTGAGCGGCACCCTGCCCCTGTCTTTGAATATCTTCCAATGCCCATGCCTGGGCCTGTCCTCAGAAGAGCAATGGCTGGGCCAGGGCCTCATGCCTCTGCTGGATAGCCTTTTCCTGTGGCCTGACCATTCGCATTGCTGGAGCGGCTGTTGTCGATGTGCACGTCACTGGCACTGGTCCGGCCACGGCATGGCGGTGGCTTCTCGGCAGGTCCGGCAAATGCGACCAGAACTCCTTGTACTGTCTCGTGGCGTTCCTTTTCCTTGCGACTCTTTAGTTCCCGGCGGTGGGGGAGCTGGCTCCTGGCTTGTTCGTAAGCTCGCCGGCGCTGGGCCCGTTCCTCTTCGGGCTGATGCGAATTCTCGGCTTGGGGGGCTTCTTGACCTTTGGCTAGGTGGCTTCGTTACCTTCGGCTTGGGCGGCTTCTTGACCTTCGGCTTCCTGGCCGGTTTGGTCTTTTTCTTCTTGGCTTGGCCTGGCGAGATGTATTATGGTGCTTGTACGGAAAGTATGGCTTTCACCTAGTGTGTGGGTAACTGAAGTTAGTCAGTTGAATAGTCATTCACGATGAGGTATCCTCCGGGTTAGCAATCCAGAGGAGGATGCCCATGGCAATCGGACGACCAATGCCGCCGGTAATTTTGGATGATGTGGAGCGTGAAACCCTGGTACGGTGGGTTCGGCTTCGCCGGCCGAAAACGGCGCAAGCTTTGGCGCTGCGGGCCAGAATGATTTTGGGCTGTGCCGAAGGCCCGCAGCAATCCCATCGGTGGTCGCCGACCTGGGAGTGTCCGATGAGACGGTGGTGAAGTGGCGTTCCCGCTTCCTGGAACGGAGGCTGGACGGACTGTCGGACGAACCGCGCAGCGGACGGGCCTCGAGCGGTTACCGATGACCACGTGGAGCGTGTGGATTACGCTGACGCTGTGGACGACCACCCCCAAGGACGCGACCCACTGGAGCACCCGGTCCATGGCCCAGCGCGAGGGCTGAGCCACAACAGCGGTCAGCCGCATCTGGCGGCCTTCGGATTGCAGCCCCACCGCACGAGACCTTCAAGTTGTCGGCAGACCCCTTCATTCATCGAGAAGGTCAGGGACGTTGTGGGGCTATACCTCACCCGCCGGATCGGGCGTTGGTCCTGTGCGTGGACGAGAAGTCCCAGATCCAGGCGTTGGATCGCACCCGTCCGCTATTGCCCATGCGCCCGGGACAGGTGGAACGGCGCACCCATGATACGTACGTGGATTACTCTGCGTCACGGCACCACTTCGCTGTTCGCCGCCTGGACACCAGGACCGGCAAGGTGATTGGTCGTTGCCACCAACGGCACCGGGCCGTGGAGTTCCGCAATTCCTCGATACCATCGAGGCCGAGGTGCCCGCCAACCTCGACGTCCACCTGATCGCGGACAACTACGCCACCCACACAGACGGCGCTGATCTGCAACTGGCTGCCAAGCGGCCCCGTTTCCATATGCACTTCACCACCACCACAGCGCCTCCTGGCTGAACCTGGTGAGCGCTGGTTCGGTCTGCTCACCGAAAAGCAGTTGCGCCGTGGGGTGCATCGGAGCAGCGCCGAACTGGAGGCTGCCATCTACCGCTAGTCTGGACGTCACCAACGAAGATCCCAAACCTTTTGTCTGGACCCAGACCGCCGACCAAATACTGGCCAACGTTGCCCGCTTTTGCCAACGTACTTTGGATACAGGACACTATAAGTCTGGCCGGAAAGCCATTGGCCGGATTTCGCGCTACGCCCAGCAGACGTATTCCAGTCTTATACGGCATGGTAATGTATATAATACGTGTCAAGAACCCACTGTTACATCGACAATCGACGTTAAGAAAACGGCGGGTTGGGGAGAATCGGGGTTCCCGGCCAGACTTCTAGGTCCGTCCCCATGGGACTGGTGCCCGTGGGGGCAATCAAGATGTAGGCCGTACAAAAAGGGGGCTAAACAGCAAACTGCACCTGGCGGTGGATTCCCACGGGATGCCGGTACGAATGATCCTGACCGAAGGTACGGTGGCGGACTGCACCCAGGCCTCTGACCTGATTGCAGATATCGCAGCCCAATACTTGCTGGCTGACCGAGGCTACGACACCGATGCCATTGTGGCCCAAGCCGAGGCTCAGGGGATGGAACCGGTAATACCGCCGAGGCGTCACCGGAAAGAACCCCGCTATTACGACCGTCAAATATATCGGCTGCGCCATTTGGTGGAGAATGCATTCTTGAACTTCAAGCAATGGCGGGCCGTGGCAACTCGCTATGCGAAGAGGTCCGCCTCATTCTTGGCAATCTGCCAGATTCGAGCTCTGGTCCTCTGGACCAAACTATATTGACGACACCACCTAGCCAAACCAGATTCAAGCGCCAAAGCGGGTATGCTAGAATAATTGCCACCTCTTTTTATGGGCCGTTAGCTCAGTTGGCAGAGCACCGGACTTTTAATCCGGGTGTCGTGGGTTCGACCCCCACACGGCCCACTTCGCTGATTAACTAGTTGATTAACTAAAGTCGGTTCGCCCACGACCAGAGGTTGAATGTGTCCACCGGAGTTCCTCAGACAAGTACCAACCTCGAAGTAGCCTTTGAAAGAATTAAAGAGTTACACCGGTTGTACTCTCAAGGCCACTTGAAGGGACCGGAGAAACACGAGGTAAACCAGGCCTGCCCGCTGATAGCAAGGAGAACTACCTGTACTTCACCCTGCCTTGCTCTGTCAACTTTCAAAGACGTTCACCAGAAATGTGGGCGAGTGCGCTCAACACGTTCGATGATCAGGACACAGACTTCGTCTTTCGTCCCGAGGTTGTTGGAATCGCCAGCCCGCCAATGGTAAGAGAGGCTTTGACCAAATATCGCTTGGCTCTCCTAACTAATAAACATACACAGACTTGGGTTGAGATCTGCCGTACACTGGCAAACTACTACGATGGGAACCCAGAGAACGTGCTGGCTGAGTACGACTTTGACGTCCCCAGAATAATCGGTGCTGTGCAACATGAGAAGAAACACCTTTTCCCCTGTCTGGGTGGGAGAAAGCTCTCAAATTACTGGATATTTGTGATGACCCAGTTTACTGCCGCACCGTTACGCAATACACACGAAATATCGATAATCCCAGACACCCATGTCATCAAGAGCACCATTCACCTTGGATTGACTCCCCCTGGCGTCTCTTCCGCTACGGTGGAGAATCTCTGGAGGGATATCTTGCACCGCCTGGATATACACCCAACTGAAATGCACTCTGCCCTCTGGAGGTGGTCGCGAAATGGTTTCCAGCCAGACATATAAAAACTAGAGGCCTGACAACTACGCGGTCACAAAGAGATTCGAAACTATAGTGATTTCAAGGCAGGCAATAGGCAGCGTCCCAGTCCCAGCCACATTTCGTAGATGGTACTGTCTACCGTCAAAATAGCCCCACCTCCTCTCGGCATCGGCGTACTGCATCCACCACTCAATGACTATCGCAGGCGTTCCAGTCACAACGTGATGCCACACATCTGCCAGAAACCAGGTTGGGAAGACATAGATGTCTATCAAGCTCTCCAGAACCCTGCAGGACAAACTAAGCGCTTCGGGTATCGCACAAGCTGTTCGCGAATACGAGCATCGCTTCAAGGCTCACAATCGCAGTGCATTGGAGAACGAAGCAAATTCCAACTAACACATCACCGAACACTACTATGACCTGGTTACGGATTTCTATGAATATGGGTGGGGGGAAGTCGTTTCACTTTGCCCCTCGCGTCCCCGGGGAGAGTTTCAAGGAATCGCTGGCACGCCACGAGCGTTTTCTGGCGGACGCACTCGGGCTCAAACCCGGTATGGTCGTCGCCGACTTCGGTTGCGGTGTTGGCGGTCCGTTGCTGGAGATTGCCCGTTATTCGGGGGCCAGAATCGTTGGCATAAACAGCAACGCCTATCAACTGGGACGCGCCAGGAGATTCGTGGACGAAGCGGACCTGTCGCATTTGGCCGAGTTCCTGCACTGCGACTTCCTGAACGTCGATGCTCCGGATGAGTCCTTTGACGCGATCTACGACATTGAAGCAACCTGTCATGCACCGGACAAGGTCAGCATCTTTGGCGAGGTTTTTCGCCTGCTGAAGCCGGGCGCGTGTTTCGCCGGCTATGAATACTGTTTAACTGACCGCTTCGACGCACACGACCCCCACCACCTCAAAATCAAGGCCGACATTCAGTTGGGAGGCAGCCTGCTGGAAATCGCTGACCAACAGACCGTTGATGACGCGCTCCGGTCGGTGGGGTTTGAGGTGTTGGAAACCCGGGATCTGTCAATACAAACCGGTCCTTCTATTCCCTGGTATCAGCCGCTGGTTGGTTCGGGTCTTTCTCTGGCCAGCTTCCGCAGTTCAAGGTTCGGTCGCTGGGTCACCCACAATTCGCTGAAAACGCTCGAAACGCTTCACATCGCGCCGCAGGGAACGGTTCGCGTATCGGAGACCCTGAATCTTTGTGCGGCCGCCATGGCCGAGGCGGGCAAGCTCGGCATTTTCACGCCGATGTATTTTAGCCACGCCCGAAAACCGGAATAGGGCAACCAATCTTTGACTAATAATGTGCTGCGGAAGATTGGGGCAGCTCGACCTTCTCGATTGACTGGCCGGTATCGACTGACTTGCTGCTGTTCCAGTCCCCCGGTCAATGGCTGGTATTGCTTCCCGATGTTTGACCGCTGACTTGCTTACCCGACGCCCTCCTGGACCGCTCTGACACGGGCCCATACCTGCTTCCCACTGGTAACCCTTGCCATACGATGCGTATCTGGCGGGGCAAATTGCCCCAAAGTGGTTTTGCCTGCGCTAAGCGCCAAAAATTGTCTGCCTGTTACATTTATATAGCGAGTAATGCCAGAGGGGCCGGCATGTTGATGTGCGGGTTCCGGTTCCGGCCAAATTGCTTTTATTCCTGGCCTGCCGCGTGGCTGCTCGCAGATCGGGCGCAGTGGTGGTGGAAGACGTGAGGCGGCGCCCGCCCCTCTTATTACCATTATTGTTTGGTCAACCCCCGCCACCCGCCCGGAAGCACTATTTCTTTATTTGACCTCTGGTTGTGGGAGGAGTGGGTATGCACCTCAGGGCTTTCACTGGCACTACTCTATTTCCGACGTTTGCCGTTACATTGGGCATTTTCGCAGCTGTGGGCTTAGCCATTTTTCCTGTCAAGCCACGCCTTTGCCCAGTCCAACAGCGCCCCGGATTTTGGCGCGACAACCGCCACCCGTACTGTCAACGAGTACACAGGCACGGACATAGAGGAAGACGAACCGTGGTACGAGGACATCGGGGCGCCGGTCACGGCTACCGACGCCGATCAGGACAAGCTTACCTACAGCATCAAGAACGCCCGTTCGTCCCCCTTCTACATTGACCGGTTCACGGGCCAATTGCAGGTCGGCAGACCCCTCGACTACGAGACGGCCAGTTCCCACACCGTAAAGGTGGTTGGCACCGACCCTTCAGGCGAGAAGGACGAGATCACCGTAACCGTTAACATAACCAATGTGGACGAGGCCGGGAAAATTACCCTGATGTGGAAGCCCGCTTCCGGCAGCGGAGTCCAGTTTGAAGCCAAGCTGACCGACCCTGACGGCATTTCCGGAACACCAACCTGGCAGTGGGCCAGCGCCGGTTCGCAAAACGGAACCTACACCGACATCAGCGGCGCAACCTCGGCTACTTTCGTGCATGCCGCCAGCCACAAATACCTCAAGGCAACGGCCACCTATACCGACGCGGCATTCGGTGGAAAGACCATAAGCAAGACCCAGCAGACTGAACCGCCTTCAAGCATAGATTCCGGATACACCCTTTCTTTTACGGCCGTAACCTCGGGGGGTTATAGCTGCAGCAACGGGGAGGCACAGATTTGTATCCATGTCCCGAGAACGAAAACGCCCGGCCACGACCTTTACTACCCCGTTGGCATCGTTTATACGAAGTCCGGTGGACATGATCGCTACCCCAGTGACGGCTACCTGAGCTATTCCCTGGCAGGGACGGATGCGCAGTACTTCGACCTTGATCCCGTTACCCGCGAGCTGCTTGCCAAGGGTCTCAATGGTTACGAAACGAAGGAAACATATCTCATTTCCATAACCGCCACCGACCCGTCAGGTCGGACCGGTACCCTCACTCTTAAGGTCACTCGGAGCGGCGCTTCGGATAGTCCGGTCGTAGTGGGGCCCACCGAGATGATCTATCCTGAGAACGGAACGTGGCAGATAGCCGATTTTGATGGCAAGTTACCCGGGCGTCCTCTGAACCAGGACGTAAGCTGGATAATTGGAGTTGAACCCGGCGGTGGAGACGGAGACTTCTTCGACATAGACGACGACGGAGTGCTCTACTTCACGCAACCCCCGGATTTCGAGGACCCAGCGGACGAGGACGGGGACCATGTGTTCAGATTCACCGTGGAAGCTTACGATGGAAACCCGCCAAATCGCCAGCGGCCGGGCATAACCTTCTATCGGGTCAAAGTCAGGATAGTAAACGCACAGGAGAGACTGGAGATTAACGGTCCCACTTCAAAAGACTACCCAGAAAACGGGACGGATCCGGTCCATACCTACACCGTAACGGGAAATTCAGGAACAGTCACCTGGTCGTTGGACGGAAAGGACAAAGACCTGTTTACCATCAGCAACGGTGCGCTGTCCTTCATCAATACACCCGACTACGAAGACCCCTTTGATGCCAGCGACCCGCCGCAGGACCGGAATGACTACCTGGTTAGCATAATTGTCGCCGACGGGGACATCACCAGCAAAATCGAGCCCGTCCGCATCATGGTCACCAACGTAAACGAACCGCCGGCATTCCCAGACACCGAAGACGGGCGCCGAACCATTTCCGAAAGCGCCGGGGCAAATGAGGACATCGGCGATCCCTTTGCCGCCGAAGACCCGGATGGCCCTGGCGAATTGCTGGAATACAGCCTCGGTGGTACCGACGCCCTGTCTTTCAGCATTGGCACCTACTCAGGCCAGTTGCAAACTGCCGCCGTGCTGGACTTCGAGACCAAGAATAGTTATTCCCTCACCGTGTCGGTAACCGACAACAGAGACGCTGACGGCAACGGCGACAATTCGGCGGACGACACCATAAACGTCACTGTCACCGTAATCGGGGCCAACGAGGCGCCGACCATAATCGGTGAAGCTACGATTGATTACGTGGAAGGTGACACCCGCGAAGTGGAGGACTACGACGCCACCGACCCCGAAAACGACACCGTCACCTGGTCATTGAAGGATGTCGATGATTACAACGACCTGTCCATTGACCCATCGACCGGCGTCCTCACCTTCGATTCGCCGCCGGACTACGAGGACCCGCAGAACACCGACAATCAATACCTGGTAACCGTGGTGGCCACCGATGCCGAAGATAATTCGTCTGAGCTGGACGTTACGATCAACATCACCCCCGTGAATGACCCGCCGGTAATCACCTACGACGGAAATGAGGGCGACCAGACCATTCCCTTCGCCGAGAACGGCACCGGCGACGTGGCAACCTTTGTCGCAACCGACCAGGAGAACGATTCCATTGGGTGGTCCCTGGACGCCGCCGATGCTGATGCCGCACTGTTCTCCATATCCAACGCCGGAGACCTAAAGTTCCTAAGCCCGCCCGATTACGAAGACCCCAGGGACCAGTCTCCGTATAACAGCTACGTGATTACGGTGGAGGCTTCTGACGATACGAACGAAGCCGTCATGCAGGTAACTGTCAACGTAACCGACGTTGACGAGGATCCCGTAGTCACCGGAGACACCGGCCCTTCACTGGTGGAAGGAAGCACCGATTCGTTCAAGACCTACAGCGCCACAGACCCGGAGGGGGAGACGATCACCTGGGAGGACCCTTCGGGCGCCGATGGAAGCCTCTTCGAGATAACATCCGCCGGCAAGCTGTCCTTCAAATCCGCGCCAGATTTTGAGACTCCGGGAAGCGCCGCCGGAACCAATGTGTACCAGGTAACGGTAAACGCCAGCGACGGAACGAACACCGGCAGCCTGGACGTTACCGTGACTGTTGTAAACGAGAACGAGGCCATAATCCGGGAGGGCACCTGGACCGCAACCAGGGACTACCCGGAAAACAGCGACTCCGTCGTCGCAACCTACGCTGCCAGGGACCCTGAAGGTGAGGATATAGATTGGGACCTGTCCGGAGACGATGACGACAAGTTGTCCATCAGCAACGCCGGCGTCCTGACCTTCAATACCGTTCCAAATTTCGAGGTGGCCGCCGACCACAACACCGACGGCGTCTATGAAATTACGGTAATCGCGTCCGACGGCGAGAATCAAGAGACCCAGGACGTCAGGATAACCATAACCAACGTCAACGAGGCCCCGGTTCTTACCGTCGTAGAAGAAGTCACTTTCGCCGAGGGTGGGACCGGCACCGTCACAACCTTTGTGGTCACTGACCCGGACGCCAACACAACTATAACGTGGTCATTGACCGGTGATGACGCCGGCGACTTTAACAGCATAACCAAGCCCACGAACGAACCCCTGAAGGGCGATTTGACCTTCGTGACTGTGCCCGACAGGGAGAATGCGGCTGACGCCGATACCAATAACGACTACGAAATAACGGTCACTGCCACCGATGAGGGCGGTCTCCACGACGAGATGGACGTGACGATTGAAGTCCAGGATGAGGACGAGACGCCGCTGTTGACCGGTGTAACGGCTAAAGACTGGAAGGAGAACGACACCACTGCCGTCGCTACATACAACGCCGACGACCCGGAAGACGACCCGATAACCTGGACCCTGGAGGGTGAAGACCGTCTCCTGTTTACCATTACGGGGACTCCACTGGCCACCTCGGAGGACGCTAACCTTTCCTTCAATGCCGCTCCTGACTTTGAGGACAAGCAGGACCACGATACCGACAACGAATACGAGGTCACCATCAAGGCCACCGACGGCACCCATACCCAGACCCTGGACGTGGTCATCAAGGTTACCGACGTAAACGAGACGCCGGTGATTGAGGTTCTGGCGCCTGAACCCTACGCCGAGAATGGGACCGGCGACGTGGCAGACTTCTCGGCCACAGACCCGGAGAATGACACAATAGAGTGGACCCTGTCAGGGGTGGACGACGCATACTTCTCCATTCACGCGGACACGGGGGTCCTTACTTTCCGCTCCCCGCCCGATTATGAGTTAATGGTGGACGGCGCCCAGAAATATACCTATGACATAACAGTCCAGGCATCCGATGATGAATTCACGGCGGTACTTCCCGTCACCGTCACCGTTGATGATGTGGACGAAACGCCGGTCATTTCGGGCGAGACCGAGAACGACACAATCAGTCCCTTCTTTGATCACGAGGAGAACGACGCGTCCCCCATCCACAGATTCTCCGCCTCCGACCCGGAGGGGAACGCTGTAACCTGGGAACTGGATGGCGTAGACAAGGACGTCTTGACAATTACTGGCGGCGTACTCGAGTTCCCAAGCGCGCCCAACTATGAAGACCCACAGGATTCAGGGGGAAACAACGTCTATAACATTACGGTGAAGGCTACCGACAACAACGCCAACAACGCCAATCTTCCCGTTACCGTCACGGTCACCAACGTCAATGAGGACCCGCAGTTTGACGCGGAAACGGCTACCGTGGAAGTAGACGAAAACACCCCGGCCAACCGGAACATCGAGACCCCCTTCAAGGCCACAGATGAGGACACGGGGGACCGACTTACCTACACCCTGGGTGGTGACGATGCCGCTTCCTTTGCGCTGGTTTCCAGCCACAGTAGCGGCGGCCAGTTGCGGACCAAGGCCGCGCTGGACTTCGAGACCACGCCCACCAAGACCACCTACGAGGTAACCATCCTGGTGCGCGACGGCGTTGACGATCAACGTCACACCAATACCACGGCCGACGACACCATAGACATCACTATTAACGTAACCAACCTGGACGAGACCGGGACGGTAACGCTGTCTAATGAACAACCCGAGGAAGAGCAATCCATAACTGCAACCTTGGAGGATGTTGACGGTGGCGTAACCGGTAAGACCTGGCAATGGGCCACAGCCTCCTCGAGGACCAGCTCCTCCTGGACCAATGCAACGGGTACCGGGGCAACCAGCGCCACCTACACTCCGGTGAATGCGGACGTGAACCGGTACCTGCGGGCTACCGCGTCCTACACCGATGCCCAGGGCGGAAGCAAGACGGCCCACGAAATTACTGCCAACCGGGTGGATGCCAAGCCGCCGGACCCCATGCCCCCGGTCTTCTCACTGGCGTCAACGGACCGCTCGGTAGCGGAGAATGCCGCAATAGGAACCAACGTGGGGCGGCCGGTCACGGCAACGGACCCGGAAAGGAAGGCACTGACCTATTCCCTGGAAACAAGCACTGACGCCGCCAGCTTTGACATAGTGCAGTCCAGCGGGCAGATACAAACGAAAGCGGGAGTGGAGCTGGACTTTGAAACGAAGCCAACCTATACGGTTACGGTCAAGGCCACAGACCCGGGCGGCCTCTCTGACACAATTGTGGTAACCATCAATCTGGTGGACGTTAATGAACCGCCAGGTAAGGTAAGCATCACCCAAGTGATGAAGAGCCCCGGGAATGAACAAAATGGCCTCATGGTCAAGTGGTCGGAACCGGAAAACAACGGGCCTTCAGTTACCGGATATAACCTCAAGTATGCCCAGCAGGGAACCACTGGCTGGAAGGATGACGAATCCTCGGATACCCAGGAAGAGCTGGACCAGCTTTTGCCTGACACTGAATACGCAGTGATGGTTAACGCCAAGAATGACGAGGGGGCTGGAAGCTGGTCCGAATCCGGGACCGGCAGGACCGAGGCAAAGGCGGAGATTGACTGGATTGACCTGACAGCCAGGTTCGGCAAATCCAGCTATTCCGTGACCGAGGGCAGAAGCATTAATATTGGGGTCAATCTGTCGCCAGCGGCGGATCGGAGGCAATCTATACCCATAACCGTGACGCCTGGCTCCGCCGAAAGCGGCGACTACACCGTCACGGGCCTGACCGACGGAGCTTTGCCCTTCGTACCGGGCAATACGTCCGCGTCCTTTACTATCCGGGCCAACCAGGACAGCGACAGGTCAAACGAGACAGTTACGTTGAGCCTTGGCGATACCCTGCCCACCAAGATACTGGCGGGAAGCATAACATCGGTAACCGTTACCATCCGGGACAGCTACCGTGCGCCGCCGCCCAGCCGTCCGACTCCGCCGTCAACGCCAACACCTCCGTCGACGCCAAAGATTCCTACAACTCAAGTGCAGCCGTCGACGCCTACCATTCCTTCGACACCAACTCCTCCAGGAGGCGGAGGCGGAGGCGGGTTCTTCGGCGGGTTCGGCGGCGGCAGTGGCTCGGGTGGTAGTTCGGGCGGCGGCACCTCGACAGAACCGAATCGTCCTCCCTACTTCGATGAGGGGGTTACCACCGAACGCTCCGTCACGGAGCACACCAGTCGGGCGGTTTACCTCGGGGACCCGGTAACCGCCACGGACCCCGATGGAGACGTACTCACCTATGCCCTGGGCGGAAGGGATGCTGAGTCCTTTGCACTGGACACCCAGGCCGGACAGTTGATAACCAGCGCCACGCTGGACTTCGAACTGAAACCCAGCTATGACGTCGTTATGACTGTTGTCGACGGCCGGGGGGCTGCTGACGCAATTGAAATCACGGTTAAGGTAATTGACCTCACGGAAGTGCCAATCTACAGCCCCGAAACCCAGGCAGCGGCGCTGGTAAAACCTGGGGAAGCGACCACCATCGAGACCCCTGACGGCGCGGCAGCGGTGACCTTCCCCGCGCAGTCCAGGAGTGGCTACTATTGGGCCAGGTTGGACTCAGGAACATCTCGCTGCGGCTTCGACCCCGGCAACGAGGATCTGGAGACATCCCTGATCGTGGAGTTCTTTGACCGGTGGGGGACCCGCGAGCACGCAGTCGTTCTGTTAAACCCGGCAACGGTTGACCTGCGGCTGGACGCCGACCCCTTCGGGAGTGCCGAGGCGGTCCTGGCAGCCCACGCACGGGGGCTTTCAGCGTCTACGCTCGCAACTACACAACCCTGCAATGGTCCCAGGTTGCGTTCACCCTGGCAGTGGATGACGAGGGAAGGGTCATCATTACCATCTCTGACCTGACCTCGCTTGATTGCTTTGCCGTTACAACTCTGGCAGCGCTGCTTGCGCCGGAACAGCCAGTCGCGACGCCCACCCCGACGCCAACACCTGTACCTGCTACGCGCGGAGAGGTGCAACCGACCCCAACCCCGACACCGGAGGCCGAGCCGCAGCCAACACCGACCGTAGAATCGGAGGGAATAAAGATACCCTTGCTGATGCCTCAGACTGTGGCCGAGGCAGGGGAGGTGGAGAACCCGACTCCTGAGGCCGGTGGATCTGAAAGTACCGAACCTACGCCTGTGCCGGTTGCTATGCAAGCCCAACTTGGCCCTGAATTGGAGGATGGCGGCCTTTCGGTTTGGCCGATACTCTTAATGGCGTTGGGAGCGGCATTGCTGGCGTTCAGCCTGTGGCTGTTCCTGTCCGCCAAGCGCAGACGAAGGTTCTAAAGGGACCGACCCCCGTGATAGTTTGGAATTAGCAGAGCGCAGGTGTCTTGCACACCTGCGCTCCTGCTTTGACCATGTTCGTCACACGACTGTAGTTCAGCCAGGTTTCGCGTCAAGGGGAATTACAATGTCCCGAAAAACTGAGCCTTGCCGGCCCGGCCAATATGCTAAACTGTACCGGAGAAACTATTGACTGTCCAAATCAATGTCGGCTATACGCTTACATACTCTTTCTGCTGCTTCATAATCCATGACAAATTTGGTTCAATTTTCCGACCGATTGACCCGCGCCCACTCCTTCGATTACTTCATTATTGGCGTCATCATTGCCAACGGCATCCTCCTTGGACTGGAAACTTCCCCTGCCATAAACAACAGCTACGGAAAATTGCTGCACCTTGGCAACCAGATTGCCCTCGGCATATTCATCGTTGAAGCGGCCATCAAGATGGTGGCGAAGGCTCCCCGATCATATCGTTATTTTAAAGACGGGTGGAATGTCTTCGACTTCATGGTCATAGTCTTTTCCCTTATTCCCGCCACCGGCCAGTTTGCCATGATCGCGCGCTTGGCCAGGCTGCTGCGAGTGGTGCGCCTCATTTCAGCCATTGAGGACTTGCGCCTGATCGTCGCCGCTCTGGTGCGCTCCATACCGAGCGTCGTGCACGTCATCCTCCTGATGAGCATCGTGGTTTACATCTACGCCATAATGGGCTACCACCTGTTCCACGAGCAAGACCCCGACAACTGGCGCAACCTGGGAATCGCTCTCCTGACACTGTTCAACATGACCACCCTGGAAGGGTGGACGGAGATTATGTACACCGCCATGGAGGTGCACCCGCTGGCCTGGATCTACTTTGTCAGCTTTGTGGTTATCGGCACCTTTGTGGTGATAAATATGTTCATCGCCATCATCATCAATAGCCTGGACGAAGCCAAGCGGGAAAAGCTGGAAGAACTGGAGATGCCTCCCTCCAGCGACCGACTCCTTCAGGAAATTCGGGCCACCCAGGCTGCCTTGCAGCGGTTGGAGCAACGACTGGAACACCAGAACGAGGAGTAGCTTTATTTCGGGACAGGGGTTTGCTGGGGCCCATTACAGAGGGGCCAGTTTCCTGGGAGACGCTCATTTTCTTCTCTGAAATCAAGCCTCCTTATCTGGTCTCGAACCGCGCCAAGTGGTGCAGCGCCCCAACGAGAAACCCTCTCTAGCTTGAAGACCTCTACGGTCTCACGCCTGCCAGCTACATTGCCCTTTCATCCTGCCACTTGTACCATGTTTCCTATACTGAAACAGGTTGCGCCAACCCGGCCATCGATCGCCAACCAAATTACTTCAAGTGTGGCCAGTATCCCAGGGACCAATACCACCAGTCTCGGAGTCGTTGCTTATGACAACCAGGGCAGACACATCTTGCAAAACCCTGACCCGCGGCGAACTCCTTGACCAAGCCTCGAAGTTGACGCCCATCCTGAAAGAAAGGGCGCCTCTGACTGAGGGACTGCGTCGTGTTCCCACGGAAACAGTTGACGACCTGCTGGCATCGGGGCTTCACCTCATCGGAGTCCCCAGAAAATTCGGCGGGCTGGACGTCGATTACGGGATATCCCTCGATGTGGGAGTAGAGTTGGCAAAGGGGTGCGCCTCCACGTCATGGTGCTATTCCCTGTGGGTAGCCCACGCGTGGCTGGTGGGTTTCTGGCCTCTTCAAGCCCAGGAGGAGATTTTTGGAGCCAGCCCCAACGTACTCTGTTCCAGTTCCCTCAGCCCTGGCAAGTCCACCTGCACACCGGCAGATGGCGGGTACCACCTTACCGGCCGCTGGGAGTTCTCCAGCGGCTGTGACTCGGCGGACTGGATAATGCTGGGGGTTGCCGGCATAGACCAAAGAAACTGGGCTCTGGTTCCCAAGGAAGACCGCGAGATAGTGGACACGTGGTTTGTGTCCGGCCTGCGGGGCAGCGGCAGCAAGGATATAGTCGTCGAGGATGCCTTCATACCCGCACACCGCGTTGTTGAGGTTACAACCGCCGGTGACACCGACCTGACTGGCTGGGCAATCCACGGTCAGGACCGCTACCGCGTCCCCATACCCGTGCTGCTGGGCTGGGACCTGGTGGCGCCCATGATTGGCGTGGCCCGGGGGATGGCAGAAGAGTTTATAGCGAAACTAACCGGCACAACCGGCCCCGGACGGACCGCCGATTCGGCGGCCATACACCTGCGGCTGTCCCAGGCTTGCGCCGAGGCGGACGCGGCCCAGGCCCTGATGGACCTGGATGTAGCGGAGATCCTTCGGAAAGGCCGGGAAGGAGAGCCTTTCAACGCCTTGGAACGAGCCAGATTCCGGCGGGACAAGGCGTTTTGCACCCAGCTTGGCCTCCAGGCAGTCAACCGGCTCTTCGACCTGAGCGGGGGCCACGCCTTGTTCGAATCTGAGCCTATGCAGCGTCTCCACCGGGATGCCCAGGCAATAGCCCACCGGGATGGCCTGATTATGGACTTGGGGGGCCAGCAGTATGGTCGCGTGGCCCTGGGGTTACAACCGGACGGAGCCATCTGATTCAGCCCCGGCATTCGGGCGGACTCTTGCTTACATCCATCTATCCAGCCCCAGTCGAAAGCTTGCCCCGACGGTGGTGCATCGGGCCCACTGGAATAGCGTCAGATTGAATGCAACGGGAATCCGCAACTGGCCAGCCCTTGTTTGACGCCAGGTTTCCCCTCACCCCTATTCAGTTCCGCTTTGTGGACAGCCGCCCACTCTGCCAGACCTTTTTCAACCAAACCCGAAGCACTCCCCCGTAGAACCGCCCATCGAAATGGTGCTAGTATCCAGTACTATGCAATACCTGGTTTTCTTAAGTCCAACAGCAGGCCGTTGGACCATTTCGTTGAACTAGATTTCTCAAGCAAAATGGGGGTCGCCGCCAATACTCCAGCGGACCGAACCATCTTGCAGAAGCTGTGGACCGGGTAATGTTACCTCCCAACCAATGACCGAACACGCATGTTCTTTAAATCCCCTCCAATATCAACGCTGTTAAAGCATTCCCAGCGCCCAATGGTAAAGAGGCTGGCCCGCCCTTTGGGCGGTATGTTACATCGCGTTCTCTTGTCGTTGAGAGACCTGACCCCCATAGTCCTGGTCATTGCCTTCTTCCAAATCATCGTTCTGCAGCAGCCCTTTCCCAACTTGTGGAACGTGATGTTCGGCCTGCTTTGCGTGGTCGGCGGACTCTCCTTGTTTATGCAGGGACTGGAGTACGGGTTGTTTCCCCTGGGAGAAACCCTGGCCCAGGGCTTTGCCAGAAAAGGCAGCCTGCTGGCCCTGTTGACCTTTGCCTTTTGCCTGGGCTTCGGCGCCACCGTAGCCGAACCGGCCCTTATAGCCATCGCAGACGAAGCGGCCCGGGTAGCTTCGGAAGCGGAAGCAATAGCCAATAGCGAGGCGGCCCGCTCCAGCTATGCATTTAACCTTCGCATGGTGGTCGCGTTTTCGGTAGGCGGAGCAGTGCTGTTGGGAGTGCTGCGCATTCTCAAGGGCTGGCCTATACATCGACTAATTATTGGAGGTTATGTACTGGTCACCCTGATGACCTTGATGGCCCCACCAGAAATCGTGGGGATTGCCTACGACTCCGGAGGGGTTACCACGAGCACCATGACCGTACCACTGGTAACCGCTCTGGGCGTTGGCCTTGCAACCACAATCCGGGGCCGCAATCCGCTGGTGGACGGCTTTGGAATAATCGCCCTGGCCAGCCTGACACCCATGGCCTGTGTAATGGCCTACGGGATGTTGGCATGAACGCCGGCTTTTTTGACATCCTGTGGGCAACTCTGCTGTCCACTGTCCTAGACGTGCTGCCAATCGTGCCGGTGCTGGCCTTTTTCCAGATAGTCGTGCTGCGGCGAAGGCTGCCCCATGCCCGTCGCATGGTAGTCGGGTTCATATTCGTGCTGGCAGGTCTGGCTCTGTTCCTGATAGGCCTGGAGGAGGCCCTGTTCCCTATTGGGGAAACCATGGCACGCCAGCTTACGGCCCCCGATATGCTGGGCACCCTGGGAGGGGACGGCGACATTGACTGGCGCAATTATTGGCTGATCTATGCTTTCGGGGCCTCCATAGGGTTTGCAACCACCGTAGCCGAACCGGCGCTTATTGCCGTGGCCGTCAAGGCCGAAGAAGTGTCTGGGGGGGCCATGAAGTCCTGGGGACTACGCATCGCCGTAGCGTTCGGCGTTGCCCTGGGAGTGGCACTGGGTTGTTTTCGTATCGTAACGGGCACGCCTCTTCCGTGGTACATTATCGCCGCTTACCTGGTCGTAATTGTGATGACTTCCCAGTCCAGCAAGACCATAGTCCCGCTGGCCTACGACTCCGGTGGGGTCACCACCTCTACCGTAACCGTGCCGGTGGTGGCGGCCCTGGGCCTCGGTTTGGCGACCAGCATTCCGGGCCGCAGCCCATTGATCGATGGATTCGGTCTCATTGCCTTTGCCAGTGTCTTTCCTATAATAACCGTCCTAGGCTACACCATGATAACAGGCTACATTAACCGATGGCGGCTCAGGCAAGTTCAAGGAGGAAATGAATCATGAGGATGAAACTGATAATTGCCCTGGTCAGTGACAGCAAGACGGAGGCAGTACTCGATGCCGGCAGGGTTGCGGGCGCAACCGGGGCCACAATAATCACCAGCGTACGTGGTGAGGGAATGCAGCCCGAAAAAACTTTTCTGGGACTGCATTTTGAAGCCCAACGGGACCTGGTGCTGTTTCTGGTGGCGGAAACCCGAGCCCGCTATATTCTCGAACAGGTCAGGGATGCAGGGCATTTCGACAGCGAGCGGGGCGCAGGTGTAGCCTTCCAGATTGATGTAGAGGACGCTGTAGGCCTGGGAACGCAGCTTAACGCGATTAGAGAGGAAGTGGAACAAGAGATATGAGTGAGAATAGGGTGCTCCGGATAGAAGATGTAATGTCGACCGAACTGCATTCCATCGAGGGGCTGGCAACTGTGACCGACGCCGTTGCTATCATGCGGGAGCATGGTATCAATTCCCTGGTAGTAAACCAGCGCGACGCCGACGATGAGGCAGGACTGGTCACCCTGACGGACATAGCCGGCAAGGTGCTGGCCCAAAATCGCTCACCAGACCGGGTCAACGTCTATGAGATCATGACCAAGCCAGCGATGACCCTGCCTCCCCGTATGCAAGTTCGGTACGCCGCAAGACTGCTGGTACAGCTTGATTTTTCCCGCGCCCTGGTCGTTGACGCCGACCGAAAACCGATAGGCATGGTAACCCTCAGGGACCTGGTGCTGGGGGAGAACCCGGAGGGCTGACCATAAATGTCTTTTGGTCATCAGGGTCATCAGGATTGAAACCTGTCCTGGGTTGAACCGGACAGGTCCGCGAAACTGACCGGTATGTCCACATCCAGCTATTCAGCCCTGGCACTCGGGGTTGAAGGGGCTCCAAACACCTCGACGGTTTAATTGACTACCAAATAACACGTATGTTAGGCTACCAATAAGCAGAAGTTGAAGGAACTTCCGCACTCTGGCTACGCGAATGGAGTGTTACATCATGGAAATCACGGCACTGGCTATTGAAAAACTCAAGGAAGTACTGGACCAGGAACAGGAAACCAATAGTTCCCTACGGGTAATTGCCATGCCCTCAGGCCAAGGGCTTCAGTACATGCTCACGATGGAAAAAGAGACCCAGCCCGACGATACCGTGCTTAGCATGGAGGGTCTGAGCTTCCTGATGGACTCGGACAGCGCGCCATTCCTCGAAGAGGCGACCATTGACTATGTTGAGGAATTTGGCGGGCAGGTAGGATTCGTAATCAACAATCCCATGTACGCCAGTGGCGGCGGTTGTGGAGCAGGTTGTGGTTGCGGCAGCGGCGGCGGCGGTGGATGCGGTTGCGGTAGCGGCGGCGGCGGTTGCGGCGGGCACTAAGCAGAAAATTCTACGCAGAACCCTTTGTAGCTAAATAGCCCGGGGCCCAACAAATGGGCCCCGGGTTTCTATTGGGGAAAAAACACGCTCCCAGTTGAATGTTTAGGGCTGACTAGAGATACGTAGAAGAGGCGTGGTCAGTTGGGTGGAAAGCGCACTGGGCAAGTTGGAGACCGGGCAAACCTGGATGTTTTCCTCCCCGGCAAACTTCATTACGCTCGAAGGAATGTCCGGGAAAATTTCATCTGGCACACAGAGGATCACCGGGGCTCCAAAGTAACCTGCATAATTGCGTGCCTGAACAACCCCTGCGAACAAGAAAGGGCGCGCCTTTATTTCCACGATCGCAAAGTTTTCACCATCATCAACAATCAAGTCCGGCCTGTATTTGATACCGCGCCATAGTGAAGGGGGGTCATATCGCCACATTCTGCGATTGGGAACACTGGAAGGATCCACTGTAACGTTGAAGCCTAAGTCGCCTATGTCGGCCGCGATTTGCTGAATGAGATCAATTTCTCTCATGGCAGGACTCCCTTGCATACCATCCACTGAATGAAGGCGCCAACTGCAGCGCTAACCACTATGGTAGTCCCCCACTTGATTACTCCGAAAAAACTTACCCATCCTTCTTTTCGGCGAACAGCATTTTCCAATGGCTCGTCCCGGCCACTCTGAAGCCCACTAAGCTCCACATTAACAGATTCACCCAACTGCCGGCCTATCAAACTCGACAGCACCAGCATTGCGGACACACATTGGATCATTCTCCTTCCGTAAATCGAGACTACCCAATCATCCGAAATGAAGACCCCCGTATGCTCTACTTGAGCAGCCAACACACCCAGTGGGGCCGCCCTTTCGGGAATCCGCGCCCGCAAACTGTGATCCAATGTGCCCAGAACATTCCCTGACAACAGCTTCCCTTTCGCTTCCTCACCCAAAATTGGGTGTCCCGATACCCTTAACCGGAATTCGAGGGTTTCCATTCTCCAGGGGAAAAGTAGCATGACGGTGCAATGTGCTCTTAGTTAAGTTGCCGCCATTATTTCAACCGTATGCCTCTTATAGCAATACCTCGTATAACCCTTTTTGACCAACCCCGTTAATACGCAGCCCAACGCCGTCCGTGACCACTACCCCTTTAAATCTCACTGAACCCAGTCCCTGGCAGCGTTACTCCCCGACCCTGACCTTCGGTAATCCAGCCAAATTCCTTCAGAATTTGCTGGCTGTAGGTTACCCTGCCGGTCACGAAATCGAGGGGCTCAGTGGCCAGCAGCAAGGCGGCGTCGGCCATCATGGAAGGTGGCTCTCCCTTGGGGTCATCCATTCCGGTGACCAGGTTGTGGTAGACCGTTCCAGGAGTGGGTACCACCAATGAAGGGGAAAGACACGTTACCGAGATGCCAAACTGGTATACCTCGCTGGCCAGTCCCTGGGTAAATCGCTCCAGGGCCGCCTTTTCCGCGCCGTAGCAAGTGCCACCGGCCAGCCCCGGATTATCTTCGTAGGGCCCACGGCCCGGTCCGACGGCGGCGCCGGAAGAAATGTTGATTATGCTGCCGGAACCGCGGGGGATCATCTGACCCAACACCGTCTTGCTTAGGATAAATGGTGCGTGAAAGTTGACCTCCCAGGACCGTATCCACCGGCTGACGGCGAAGTCCTTTACGGGGATGAAATAGGTTAGCGCGGCATTGTTGACCAGCACATCCACGGGCCCGTAGATGTCCTGTGCTTCCACCAACAGGCTCTCACACTCTTCCGGTCGGGCCAGGTTGACCGCCACCGCAGTAGCTTCACCACCAGCCTCGCGAATATCGGCCACCGTCTTTTCCAGAGAACCCTCCAAGGGGTGGTCGCCTTCCCTGAGCGTCCGAGCCGCGCAGACAATGCTTCCGCCCTCTGAAGCAAAGCGGATTGAAATTTCCGCCCCTATGCCCCGGCTGGCACCGGTTACGACCACAACCTTGCCATCCAGCTTGCCCATAGCGAATCCTCAGTATTCGGTAAAGTGCCCGTATAATAGCATAATGACCCAGCAGAACCGCCTTTACACCGACCTGGCCTACCTGTGGCCTTTCTTCAGTCCTCCCGCAGATTATGTCGACGACGCCGAGCACTGGCGAGAGGCCATAAGGCAGCGCCTGGGCCCAGGACGACACTCGGTGCTGGAATTGGGTTCAGGCGGCGGACACACCCTGAGTCACCTGACCGTCGACTTCGACGTGACCGCGGTGGATATCTCGCCGGAGATGCTGGCCCTGTCTCAGACTCTCAACCCCGGTGTGCCCCACCACCTTGGCGATATGCGAAACGTACGGTTGGGGCAGACTTTCGATGCCGTAGCGATTCACGACGCAGTCTGTTACTTGCTGAACGAATCAGACCTGCGCGCCACTTTCGCAACTGCCCGTGCACATTTAGCCCCCGACGGTATCCTGCTCCTGACGCCAGACTACCTCAAGGAGGCCTTCGACAGCCCCAGGGTGCTCCACTGGATTTGCCACCAATCCGAACCCAAGTTCACGGTTATCGAATACTGCCATGACCCTGATCCAGATGACACTACAATTGAATCCGTGTTCTTTTTCGTCATCCAGGAAGGAGGTGGATTGAAGATAGAGCAGGACCGGCATATCACCGGCCTGTTCCCTTCAGAGACTTGGCTGGAACTGCTGGCAGAAGGGGGATATGAAGCAGAGTTTGTCAGCTTGCCGGGGTACGAGGGTGGATACGGGGGACATCTGTTCGTGGCAAGGTTGTTGTAGGGTCAAAGCGAGGCTTGTCGAGGGTCCAGGCTAGCCCACTACCTTTCGGCCTTCAGACGGCAGCGGCGGCTGATACGGTAACGATTGGCCGCAACCCAGGCATAGGCCGCCTCTCCAATCCGGTTGACCCCTGGTAGCCAGAGGACAGCAACCAAAGGGAAAAGGGGTGGCAACCGTAGAGTGAGCATTCGAACGGCATAGAAGCCACGGTAAGTCTTGGACCGTCCGTTACTGTTACTGCCTTTTATGACAATAGTCGATTTGCTTCCTATTTCCAGGTAGGCAGCGGCGTCCAGGTCTTCCCAGGTGAGGTCCAGTGGGGGTTCGGGCAGGGCTCGAAAGTCCGTCCAGGTTACCTTGCAGAAAAAATCCAAGAGAGCAAAGAAACGGACCGAAAGAGTGCAGAAACCGCAGTCTCCGTCGTAATAGAAAACCCAGCCACCTTTTTCATTAACGTCCGCCATACTTCCATTGTATCCTGGCGGCTCTCTTCTTGCATTTGGCTGGAGAACTGGAGCAACTGGAACCCTGATGATTGGATGCAGTTCTCCAAAGGAGTCACGCTGGCGGCGCTTCTCCGGCCTCGGCGTAATGGCGGGCGTCTTCGTCGTCGGCAGCCTTGGTGCCCGCCGACACATCCACCCAGCGCAGCACAATGCCGCCGACAACTATCAGGACCATTATGGACAGGACCGCCATTCTCGTATCCAGAACACTGGTAACTACCACGTATAAAATGGGCCCGAATACCGAAGAGACGCGACCCATGAAACCAAAGAAAGAAAAGAACTCGCCGCTGCGGGTATGGGGAGTAATCTGGGCAAAGAGACTTCGGGCCAGGGGCCTGACTTCCCCCCATGACCACCCCGACTCCCACGCCCAGCAACAACCACTGGTAGCCTGCAGTCAGGCCAAGAGGCTCCCAAACCAACCGTCGCACAGTAGCCGGCCACCAGTCCAAAGGTCCGTCACCCAGTGCCGACGGATGCAGTCGACCAACCGCTGTTTGACCATCCAGCCCGCCACCGGCCAGAGAAATGCTGTACGGGGAATCGCCTGATGCCCGGACCTGTTCCAGCAGTTTGCTAGCCTCTGTTTCGGAGATCAGGCCGCGTAACGGTAATTCTCCGCCGGTCCGTTCAACGCCGTCCGGCCCCGTTGCACTTATGTGGGCAATCCCCTCGCGCCAGACCCGGTCTCGGCGAGAATCCTCCAGTTCTGGTACTGCTTCCACCAGGTAACCCCGGGCCTCTGGCCGGTAAGCAAGTTGATAGTGGAAGTCTTGGTGCTCATGCGGGTCCAATGGCGCCACCGCAACTCCAAACAGGACCACAAATGCCCAGCCTACCAAGGTCAGCGCCAGGGCCCTCTTGGTAGTTATTCGCGAGGCCAGCCACGAAAACCCCATGGCCCCGAAGGCCGCCACAAACTGGATAATCAGGATGGTGGCCATGTTGAACACGAGGGGAATCCCGATGGTGTCGGCTCCGTAGGCTCCCGCCACATTCAGCACCGTCTGGACGCCGTCGTTGAACAGCAGGTACGACACCAGGTAAATGACAATGACCCTGAATCCGCGCAGTTGCCGGAAAGTGTTGGCCAGTTCCCTGCAGGCCAGAGTGACCGCGCGTCGGGGGCGCAGGCCGTGCAGCTCGTTGGGAATGTGGGGCTCCGGAACGAGTTTGAAAGTCCAGAGCGCCCACCCGAACCACCAGACCCCGATGGACGAGATTGCAATGCGAGTCACCAGGTCGGCCCATTCGCTGTCCTGAGTCGCCAGGATCATTGCCAAGTGAATAGCAAGCAGCACTCCGCCACCCACGTAGCCGTAGGCAAACCCCCGGCTGCTCACATCGTCCAGTATTTCCCGGGGCGCAATGTGGGGAAGAAAGGTGTTATAAAAAACGAGACAACCGGCAAACCCCACATTGGCCAAAATAAACATGGCAAGGAACCACAGCCAGGGCTGCCCAGTGTAAGCCGAAAAAAACATGAGGACGGTAAACAGGGAGCCCACGATGGTATAGATCCAAAGCAGGGCCTTCTTGATGGCCACCCGGTCCGCTATCACTCCCAGGAAAGGGCTGGACAAGGCTACCAGGGCGGTGGCAAAGGCGATGCCCAGACTCCAGGTGGAACTACCGGTAAGAGTGATTCCCAGGAAGGATGCAGACTCGCCCAGGGAGTCCTTGAAGAGGAAGACGAAGTAGACGGGGAAGATAGCCGCTCCGCCGGCGGTGGCGTATCCCGAGTTGGCCCAGTCGTACATGCACCAGGCCCGTATGACTTTGCGCTGCTGGGCCGTGAGGTCGCTCAGCTTGCCAATAGCCAAGAAATCTCCTTCACGGGCGAGGAATGGGCCGGTACCAATGCAAGCTGATGAAAGTCATACCGGTGTCGTGTCACCACCAAAAGAAGCGGATGGGCAGTTGTGAACCACGGCTGTTCCGTCGGCGCGGGTCCCGCCAGAATAGCCGCCGACGGTCACAGGCAATGACGAACACTACGAAGAGCAGCCCAACAAGAAAGAGGATTCCGGCGATCATTGAAGCAGAACTTCCAATTTTGGTATTTCAATAAGTATATACCAGTGGCAAGTCAGTCTTCCCATTCATACCACAACTAATTACCGCTTTTAAATATTTACTTTTAGTACTAATATTGGTATCGTTTACGAGACAGAACCAACCATATTGAAGAAACTGCCAGGGTTTGTGGGCCAAGCAATGAGCAGGCTCTTGTCTTCGTCTAACTAGGAGATGCTCATGGACTTCCACGGTGCTATAGGAGCGCTTCGCAACAACCCAAAAGGCATTCGGTTTGCGGAGTTAGCTAGAATCTGTAGTTACTTCTTTGGTGAACCAAGACAGCGTAGCAGCAGCCACATTGTGTACCGTATGCCTTGGGACGGTGATCCAAGAATAAATATTCAAGACGACAAGGGAATGGCAAAACCATATCAGGTGCGCCAAGTTATAAGAGCGCTTGAAAGACTGAGTGAAAGTGGAAGCTGAACATTACACTTACAGAATTACATGGTCGGCAGAGGACGGAGAGTACATTGGCTTGTGCTCCGAATTTCCTTCGCTTAGTTGGCTGGCTGCCTCTCAAGAGCAAGCCTTCGCTGGGATACGAGACCTTGTGAAAAGCAATGTGGCGGATATGTTAGCCAGTAACGAAGAGCCTCCCCGGCCCTTGGCCGAACGCATTTACAGCGGACGGTTTGTGGTTCGCGTACCCCCGGAACTTCATCGTGCCCTCTCAATAAAGGCCGCCGAAGAAGGTGTTAGCCTAAATAGGTTGGTGAGTTCGCGGCTGTCCGGAGCACCCGCCTCCTAAGCATTTAGGTTCTTAAGTATTTCCTCCCCATACTAACGCTCCCTAATCTTCATTCCCGCCTAAGTTGACGCCCGCTAGTGCACATAGTTAAACTGCCTTCCGGCATCAATCCAACCCGCAAGGAGAAACCCGCTAATGAAATTCGGCCTCTTCTACGAATGGCCTAACCCGAATCTGCGCAACTGGAAGACTCTCTTTGAAGAGGGAGTGGAGCAGATCCAGTATTCGGAGGCAATGGGGTTCGACTACTGCCTGATTGCCGAGCACCACTTCTCCAACTATGGCAACTCCCCGTCGCCCCTCTTGCAGGCCCTATACATCGGCCAGCGGACCAAGCGACTTCAGATAGCCACCGGCATCCTGGTCGTCCCCATCTGGGATGTTCTGCGGCTGGCCGAGGAGGTTGCCGTGCTGGACAACCTGATAGACGGCCGATTCATCTGCGGCGTGGGCCGGGGGTACCAGCCCCACGAAATGTCCCGCTTCGGAGTGACCCTGGAAGACTCCCGCCAGAAGTTCGTGGAAAGCATGGATGTATTGGTCAAGGCCTGGACCCAGGACGAGTCCTTCACCTACGACGGCGAATTCATCAAGATACCCAACGCCACCACGGTTTGGCCCAAGCCAATGCAAAAACCTCACCCGCCCTTCTGGATCGCCGGTACCAGCGTCGAGTCCATGAAGATGGCGGCGGAATGGGACATGATGCCACTGACCACCGGCCTGCTGGGCGGCGCCGGTGTCCGCACCCACTTTGCTTCGCTGATCCACGCCCGCAAGGACCTGGGCAAGCCCTACCATGGCCTGGAACTGGGCCTCCAGGCCATAACCCACGTGGGAGAAACCGACGCCGAGGCCCGCAAGCAGTTGGACTACGCCCGCTGGCAGAATCGGGCCGGCCGCGCCCTGAACCGGCTGGACGTAAAAGACGGCAGGGTCCAGGTCGGCCCCTACGAGGGTGAACTGGACGACGACGGCTTTATGGAGCGCCTCTACTTTGGCAGCCCGGACACGGTAATCAACAAGTTTACCCGGGCCGCCGAGTTGGGCGTGACCAACGTCAGTAACTGGATGATGTTTGGCGGACTCGAGCACGAAAAGATAATGAAGTCAATCCGGCTGATGGGCGAAGAGGTCATACCGGCCCTCAAGGATGTTATGCCGCCGGAAGGCCTGGCGGAAGAATTGGCTGCCACCCCGCCAGCCACCTCCGACCAGCTCCAGGCGGCGCGGTTCGGCGCTACGCCGTCGGACGTGACGGCGACTTAGGCTGGAGAGCTAGACACAAGCTATTTTAGGGGCGGGTTTGACACCTGCCCCTAGTTTTTTGTCACCGGGACCTACGGCTTTACTTTTGGCGGGCGGAACTATAATTTTCTGTTGATACTGTACAGAGCATTACCATCCTTTCGTACCCGCCTATCCATAGTCGAATGCAAATTGCCAGGAGGCATAGCAATGACCAACCAGCACCCCCTACCCCTAACCGGCATCCGCGTCCTGGACGCAACCCACATCGTCGCCGGACCCTTCTGCTCTCAGATACTGGCCGACATGGGCGCCGAGGTTATCAAGATTGAACGACCCCGCACTGGCGACCTGGTACGGGCTCGGGGGCCCTACGTCACCACCGAAGACGGCCAGCGGATCAGCTCCCGTTACATTGGCCTTAACCGCAACAAGAAGAGCGTCACCCTGGACTTGCGCAATCCAAGTTGTAAGGCAGCCTTTGAGGAGATGGTCAAGGTCTCAGACGTGCTGCTGGACAACTGGGGGCCTGGAGCCTTCCAGCGCCTGGGCTTGGGCTACGACCGGCTGAAGGAACTGAATCCCGGCCTGGTGTACGCCAGCATTACTGGCTACGGCGACAGCGACGCCCTGCGCGGCCCTTACTCCAACTGGCCGGCCAATAACCTGGCCATTCAGGGCATGGCGGGGTGGATGGAGTTGACCGGCGAACCGGGCCGCCCACCCCAGAGTGTCGGCGACAACATCGGCGACTCAATCCCGGGGATCTGGTCAGCCTTGGGCGTTGTCCTGGCCCTACGCACCCGAGACCAGACAGGCCAGGGGCAGCATGTGGATATGGCGATGTACGAGTGCATGGTGGCCCACACCCTCAGCAATATGTACGGCTACGAGGCCACGGGAGAGGTCTTCACCCGCGACTGGAGCCGCCTGGCCAACGCCGGAATCACCTTCCGCGCCAGCGACGGCTACGTGATCATGGCCGGCGCCCGCGTCCAGGAGCGGTGGCGCAATCTCTGGCAACTGGTGGGCCGCGATGACCTGGCCGACAATCCGGAATACCTGGCCCCGGGCGACGGAGATTTCATAAACGAGAATGTCATCCCGGCCATCGAAGTGTGGTCGCAGAGTCGCCCCAAATGGGAGGTGGCCGGCAAGTTCACCGAGTTGGGCTTCTCCATGGGCGTGGCCCAGACCATCGAAGACCTGGCCCACTGTCCCCAACTGGAGGCCCGGGACATGTTCGTAGAAACGGGCGACACGGCGGGCGGCATTTTCCGCTCCCTGCGCACGCCCCTACGCCTCCTCGACTGCGCCAACATAGAACCGGAGACCGCTCCGCTGCTGGGTGAACACAATCGGGAGGTGCTTTGCAGCCTCGGGGGCTTGACTGAGGAGAAGTTGGTACAGTTGGAGGAGGAAGGAGCGGTTTAGGGTATGCCGGAAATGGAAACCACCGGATATTACGAAAGGGAAGCACGGCTAAAGCATCCTGAAATTCAAGATGAGTGGGTACAACGGGTATTGGCGAATCCCTACTATACTGAACCACAAGATGACGGTAGAATCAGATAATATGGCTTTGTGTTCGAATTGGATCACTGGATACGTGTAATTGTAGAAGAGGGCAAGGTACACAACCGATTCGTTGACGGCAAGAAATTGAGGCTGTGGGGAAGACCATGAAGCTCAGAGTTTCCTATTACAAAGACACTGACACTCTATCCTTTTGGAATGGAGAACCAGCAAAGTCAGCGGACGATGTAGCTGATAATTTGCTTGTGGACTACAATGCGGCTGGCGAGGCCGTGGGTTTCACCTTAGAACACGCCGCCGAATTACTGCTGCCCGTCCTTCAGTCCGCGATACAGGCAATGGAAAAGGAGAGCGAAGAACCGGTCAATCCGACCAGGACTTCACCCTGACAAACGTACCCTGGCCTTAAATTCACAGATAGACAACCACCACGAACGGAGGAACAACCGTGCCAGTAAACGGAATGGGAGTTGTATCCAGGGTGGCCGGAGAGCCGGCCTTGCTGGAAGAGATCATTGTTGACGACCCTGGCCCGGGCGAGGGTTTCTGGTCCGGATTCAGGCCAGCGGTGTCTGCCACACCGATCTGCACTACAAGCTGGGCAAAATTACCAACGAGTTTCCCTTCCTGCTGGGTCACGAGGGTTCCGGCATCGTGGAGGCCGTGGGCGAGGGCGTTACCGAGCCTAAGGTAGGCGACTACGTGGTGCTGGCCTGGCGCGCGCCCTGCGGCAACTGCCGGTTCTGTGCCTTGGGACAGCCCAACCTCTGCTCCGCCAGCCTTAACGCCCAGCCCCGGATGACGGCCAAGAAAGACGGAGCCGTCCTGAACCCTGCCCTGGGCATCGGCACCTTCTGCACCCATACCGTGGTGGCCGCCCGCCAGGCCGTGCCCGTCCCCACCGCATGCCCGCCGGAACAGGCAAGCCTGCTGGGCTGCGGCGTCACAACCGGAGTAGGCGCGGTACTATACACCGCCGGAGTGCGTCGGGGCGGCACCGTGGCAGTCTATGGCTGCGGCGGCATTGGCTCCAGCGTTATTATGGGCGCAAAGCTGGCCCGTGCGTCCAAGATTATTGCCGTAGACATCTCCGAGAACAAGCTGGCGTGGGCCAGAGAGTTCGGGGCAACCGACGTAGTCAACGCGGCCAACACCGATCCGGTGGAAGCCATAAAGGAACTCACCGGCGGCAACGGCGTGGACTACTCCTTCGAGTGCGTGGGCATGCCGCAGACACTGCTACAGGCACTCTGGTCCCGTGACCTGGCTGGCACCTGTGTCCTCATCGGCGTTCCCGACCCGACGATGGTAGTGGATGTGCCTATGCTCCAGTTCTTTGGCCTGGGCGGCTCCCTGCGGGTAAGCTGGTACGGTGACAACCTCCCGTCCCGCGACTTTCCCCTGCTGGCCAACTACTACCTGTCGGGAGAACTGGACCTGGACCGAGTAGTGTCTGCCGTGATTGGTCTGGAGGATACCGAAGCGGCCTTCGAGGCTATGGAACGGGGAGAAACCCTGCGTTCCGTAATTCGCATACCGGATGCCTAGGTCTTGTTACCTTTTCTTCTTCCGAAACACAGCCCAACAAGTGGAACTAATGACGGGCTATGATAATATTGATGTAACTAATTGCAGCCCCAGGAAAAGGCACGGACTCTTGAGGTAACCCCGGAATGACAATGCCCCAGACCGGTCAACTCCGCCCCTCTACGCCGGATCGGTACGAAGACATAAGCCGACACCTCCTTCAGCAAGCGGAGGAGAAATTATTTAAAGGCGATGCACTGCAAGCCTCAGAAAAGATATGGGGCGCAACGGCCCATGCGCTGAAGGCCATTGCCCAACGGAGAGGCTGGAACCACCGCTTCCACAACCATTTGAGGGCGGCGGAGTTTTATTTGGCTGCGGAACAGGGCAGACCTGATTGGCATGCTACCTTTATGACTATTGACAGCATGCACACCAACTTCTACGAGCATCAGCTTCATCCGGGTGATGTTCGCCCATTTCTGGACATCGTAAGGGGCTTCTGTCAGGAGATTCTTGAAACCGCCCGGCTGGCGACGCCACAGATACCGGAACTGACCACTGAACAGCAGTCCGATCAAGACCGCCGCCTGCGCACCCTTACCCGCCCATTGAGCGAACAGGCCGCCTTTGGCGAAGAACTTTCCCCGGAGGAACTGGAAGATTAGCCTCCGGTCAGTCCCACACAACCGTAAGGGAGGTATGGTTATGCCTGGCAACATTAAAGATCGGTATGGAATGACCCTCTCCACCAACTCACCGGACGCCGCAGAGCGCTGGCAGGAAGGCGTTGACCTGCTTCTGGGACAGAATTATGGCGCCGAGGAGAAGCTGCAGGAAGCAATTGACCTGGACGAGGGTTTCGCCGTCGCCCATGGCTGCCTAGGCTTTCTGCACATGACTCGGGCCCGACCCGAGGAAGCCAGGGCCAGCGCCAAGCGGGGGCTGGAATTGGTTGATGGAATTACCGACCGGGAGCGACAACATATTGAAGCCGTTAATCTTTGGGCCAACGGCAAGGGCACCGATGCCGTCCGGCTGGCCAAAGAGCATTTGGGCGAATATCCCCGGGACGCCGTTGTGATGCGGCTGGCCCAGCGGCTCTACATGCTGGGCTGCAGTGGCGCCGGTGTACAGCACTTCCCGCCGGCCCTCTTCGCCATGATGAATGAGGTGGCCCCCCACTGCGGTGATGACTGGGCCTTCCTGGGACAGTACGCCTTCGCCCACCACGAAATGGGCATAATCGACAAGGCAATGGAACTGGCGCAAAAGTCGCTGGACCTGAATCCGGGCAACGCCGTGGCCGCCCATTCCGTCACTCATTCCTACTTTGAGTGGGGAGATGCCATGTCCGGGGGTAACTTCCTGGGCAACTGGCTGGAGGGGTTTGACCCCCGTGCCACCTACCATGTTCACCTGTCCTGGCACCAGGCATTATTCGAGCTGGCCTTGGGCAGATACCAGGAAGCCCTGCAACTGTACGAGGAGTGGATCCGCCCCACCTGCATTGCCAGGAACATATCCGGCCTGTCCGATAGCGCTTCCCTGATGTGGCGGCTGCAAATTTACGGTAAAGAGGCGCCTCCCATGCCCTGGGACGAAGTTAAGGAACAGGCTGCGCCGGCAGCCACCAACCCGGGTCCCGCCTTCCGTGATGCCCATGCCGCCCTCGCCTTCGCCGCCAGCGGAGACCATGAGTTGATGGACCAGATGATCAACCGACTCAGAACCAATGCCGAGAACGGCAACGTCTTCGCCAAAGAGATAATCCTGCCTTTGGCCCAGGGCATCTATGCCTTTGCCCAACAGGACTATTCGACCGCGGTTGACCACCTGGAACCGGTCTTCCCCCAGTTGACCCGCATAGGTGGCAGCCACGCTCAGAGGGAGGTGTTCGAGGACACCCTGCTTGAGGCGTACCTGCGGGCCGAGCAGTTCGACAAGGCCGAGGATATGCTCCAGGAGCGGCTTGGCCGCCGGGAAACTCCACGGGACACCTTCTGGCTGGGGAGGGTTCTGGCCGGCAAGGGAGAGGCTGCAGCAGCTCAGGGCAATCTGGCCAAGGCGTCGACTGTCTGGCAAAAGACCGGGGACGCCGAGACTCCTGAGTTAACCAACCTGCAAGAACTGGCTGGAAACTTGGCCTAACTTCTCAGATAGATCTGCGGAACGAAAAACACGAAGGGCCAATACCTGGCCCTTCGTGTTTTTGTTCCCCAAGGCGAGAAATACCTTCTACGCCCCGTACAGCCTTACCGCCCCTGACTCGGGAATCAGCCCGGAAAACAACTCTGGGTGAATCATCTCCGCCATAATCTCCAACCCCTCAACCAGGCGCGGCCCTGACCGACTGGTGTAGGCGCCGGCGTCGATGGCATAAACCCGGTTGTCCTTTACGGCGGGCAGGGTTCCCCACCCTTCCATATCAGACAGCAGGGGCAGGTCCTGGACAGCCCGCTTAACGTCGAAGCCGCAAGGCATCAGGATAATCACTTCAGGCTGGCTGGCGATTATCTCTTCCCACTCCAGACGGAAAGAACCGGTTTCCTTATCGCCGAAGCAGTTTTCCCCGCCGGCCATCTCTACCATTTCCGGCACCCAGTGACCGCCGCACATTAGCGGGTCAACCCATTCCAGGTGCAACACCCGAGGCCGGTGGTCGACTTCGGCTGTCCTGGAAGCAATCTGGTCAATACGGTTCTGCATCTCGGAGACAATTTGCTCGGCCTTATCTTCCGCGCCGGTAGCGGTACCCACCCGGCGGATGTCCTCCAGGACATCGCCCACGTACTGGGGGTCCAGGGATATGACCTCGGGTTGCTTGGGAAGGCTGACGCTGACCTCGGCAACCTGCCGAGTGGAAATGGCTCAAACCTCGCAGATTGCCTGGGTCAATAAGAGATCGGGTTCGGCCGCTTCCATGGTGGGTTGATCAATTTCGTAGATCCCCAAGCCTTGCTCCAGCCGTTCCGAAATGACCCGGCTGATCTCGCCGCTGCTGGGTTGAGGGTCCATTCCCTCGAAAACGCTGCGTACCACCCAGGGCTTGTCTTTTGCCGCCGTAGGGTAGTCACACTCGTGGGTTACGCCGTGGAGTTGGTCCTCGAGTCCCAGCACGTACACGATTTCCGTGGCGCTGGGCAGGAAAGAGCAAATGCGCATAACTTTCTCCTCGGTCCTATCAGACCGGGCTCATTATAAGGCGTAAGGGCCCTTATCCCAAACCGTCAGTCGTCGGACGCGCTGAATTGCTCGTAGTAGTTGCCGTCGTCGGCAAAGAGGTGGGCGTCGTCCCCCATGAAATCCAACTGGTGCTCGTCATACCGGTAATGGTGTGAACCTCCCAGGAAAGTGCGACGGAAGGTGTCTTCCAGCGTACCGTGAATCTGGAAAGCTGCTACGGCAACAGCCGCCGTGATTCCAACGAGCGCCACCGCAGTCAAAGGTGCGAAGACGCTTCCCAGGAGGAACAGATGGATGATGAAGGGTATGCTCCAGATCGCGGGCAGAACCAAAACAACGATTAACAGGCTGTTTCTGATAACCTTCTTGAGGTTTTGGCCAGTAACGTTTTCTGGCGCCGTTCGCCACGGGGGCAGAAAATGGCCCATCACCTCTTCCGTCAGCACGTCAAGGTTACGCCAGATAGCCACCCCCGCCGGCACGCAGAGGGCCAGCGCGACTCCCCCGGTCAGGAACCCCAGCACAGGCACGCTCAGGCCAAGCCACTCCGACAGTTGATGGCTGAATTCCAGTGCAATGGTGCCCAGGCCAATGACCACCGCGATAATGCCCGTGTTGAGCATGATGCGCTGCACCGAGTCTTTAACCCGGCCAGCCAGGGGCCGCCCGAGAATAGAGGTGCGTCGCGATGCCGTCAGCCAAACAAAGGTCACGGCACAGAACTGGCGAAGCCAACCCGGCGAAGCTCGATCGATGAAGCGCGCTACCATATCTGAAGAGCGGAAAATGAAGGGATACAACAGGGCTGTTACAGCCGTGGCCAGCGTGACAACGGGACTCAGGAAGGCACCCACCGTTCCGTGTTCCACACCAGTCTTGACCATGGCCAGCGAAAACTCTCCCAACTGGGGCATCCCCGTTCCCACCTGCAACGCCGTTTCGCCGTCGTGGCCGACCAGCAGCGTCCCAATCGTGTCCGCCACAACTTTGCCCACGATGAAGACGCCGGAGATTATCAACGCAGGTACCAGGTAGTCTCCAATGCTGGAGACATCCAGCAGCATTCCCAGGGAAACGAAGAAGAGCGCGGCGAACATATCCCGGAGCGGGTTCATTATTCGACTGATTCTATCTGTCAGTTCGGTGTCCCCCAGTATCATTCCAACCAGGAAGGCCCCGGCGGCGGCCGAGAGGCCCAGTTGATAAGCAGCCAGCGCCATGCCGAAGCAAAGGGTCAGGCTGGTTATGAGCAAGACCTCGTCCGATTCGAACCGGTCAATGTAGTTCATCAGGCGGGGGACCAGCAGGGCGCCGATGGTCAGTGTGGCAACGGCGAATATCGCCAGTTTCAATGCAAGAAATCCGATGTCGCCAACACCGACGCTGCCCGAGGTGGCCACGCCGGAGAGGACCGTCAGCAAGATAACCGCGACGAAGTCTTCCACCAGCAATATCCCGATAATCAGGCGGCCCCGCATACCGAACAGACTGTCCGTATCCCTCAGCATCTTGATGAGGATTGCCGAACTGCTGATGGAGAGCGCCGCCCCCAGGAAAATGCGCTCCACCGGCGACCACCCCAGCAGGTGAGCCAGCTCGAAGCCAATGGCGAACATGGTGGTCATTTCCACCAGGCCAATTATGATGACACGGAAACCCAACTGCCGGATACGGTGCCAGCCAATTTCCAGGCCGATACCAAACAGGAGCAGGACCAGGCCCAGGTCTGCCAGAACCCGGATGGTCTGCAGGTTGTGGACGGGCCCTTGGAAGTCGGCAAAGGGGCCGAAGCTGATGGCGGCAAAAGTGAAGGGTCCGACGATGACGCCGGCCAGCAGGTATCCCAGCACGGGAGGCAGGTTAATGCGCCTGAAAAGCACCAATGCAATACCGGCCACTGCCATAGTGACGGCAAAATCGCGGATCAGGCCGATGCTCTCTTCAGAGCCTGCGGCGGCAAGGGAAAGCAGGGGTTCTATGGCTGAGTCCTCCGTGGCGGAAATGGAGCGATTC